GTTGTTATGCGGTTGCTAGGGTGTTTCAGGTAGCTGTTCGATTATTTCTCTGTAGTTGCTATGCGGTTGCTAGGGTGTTTCAGGTAGCTGTTCGATTATTTCTCTGTAGTTGCTATGCGGTTGCTAGGGTGTTTCAGGTAGCGGTTAAGATTATTTTTCTGTAGTTGCTATGCAGTTGCTAGGGTGTTCCAGGTAGCTGCTAGGTTGTTTCTATATGGATGCTATGCAGTTACTAGTGTATTTAGGATGGTTGCCTGTTTATTTGGGGGAAAAAGACAATTCAACAAACACGAAACAAAACAAAACAAAAAACACGACATGTGAATTCCCTGCTGCAGACACTTACCGGTTTGACGTCTAACAGGATGGATGATTTAGCGATGAGGGCGGGGTTTTTGGCCTTTTTGGCGGCGTATTCCTGCAGTCGCTGCTCTTTCAGTCTCTCGGCCTCCTCGCCCACCTCTTCATCGCTGCCGAACAGATCAATGTCGTCCTCATCCTCATCTTCCTCCTCCTGTTTCGCCGGACCGGGCAAGGCTTTCTGAGGAGCGGCGGGACTGGTGCCGTTAACGGTTGGCGCTGTCGTCCGCTTCTCCAGCGCTGACACGCGACTCTCCATCTTACTGAGAGCAGAACGCAGCTCCTGCACCACTGAGAAACACAACCAGAGCAATTAAGGAAGTGCTTGCAGAAGATTAGGCAAGATGTAAATAAATGACAGCTCATATGTAAATATTATGACATCACTGCTGTTCAGTTTTAATGATGAATATGCCATGTTATCTGTCCACCTCCGGATGTTCAAGTAAATATTATATTTAATTTTTTATATGAGGTTTGCTACAACTAAATCCAATGCATGGGATTGAGAGAGATAAAGACAGAATAGATGCTTAATGCATGTGAAAAATATTATTATCGTTAACTAAAACTATTAAAAAAATTAAAAAAATACAATTCTTATTTTTTAAAATACAAAATATATTTTAAAATAAAAAATAAATATCATATGAAAAAAATGTAACTGAAAAAAGAAATTTTGTAATGCAATTAAGTTGAAGCACTAAAATTAACTAAACCAAAACTGAAATAAAAACAAATTAAACCTAAATAGTAATATTAAAAAAATAAAAAAAATAACTAAATAAATAAAATGACAAAAAATTACACTAAAATGAAAACTGAAAATAAAAGCCAACTTAAATATTTTTTTAAATATGTTTTAAAAAATGACAAAAACTTATACTAAAATTTTATTGGAAACTGAAAATAAATAATTCAGAACAATACAAACTATAATAGTATATAAATAATAATAGTAATAACAATAACAATAATAAAAACTTTATAAAAGCACCTAGTAAAACTACTAAGATTTTAAAATAAAATTACATTGAAAAGTGAAAAACGTTAATTCAAAACATGAATAAAAAGTATATTATATAAATAAAAACAATAATAGTAATAAAACAATGATAAAAAAATTAAATAGTATAAATGAGCACAGTAATTTATTACTAAATGTATTTATTACTAAATATTAAACTAAAAATAAAATGAAAATGAAAAAAATAGCTAATTCAAAATACTAACAAAACCTACAATAGTATATAAACATTACACTGTATGTAAACAAATGTACATAATTTATTTTTGTTGACAAATTGGATTAGTACCGTTCTGTTGAAATCTGAATACTGAATGGTTTTCTAGTCTTTTGAGGCTAGTGAATGCTTCTTTTCTAAACGTTGTTCATTCATTCTTTCTCAAAATGACCAAAATAATCATAAATGGAATCAGAATGCGAATTACGATTGTTAAATTCTTTCTGATTTTCCATCCTGATGCAAATGAAAACGCAAAGCTATGAGAATCTGTTAAACACACCTTCGTGTAGACTCTGGTTCTCCAGCTCCAGGTCCTTCATGTGTGCCGCGAGCTCCCCGTAATCAGCAGCGCCGCCTCCGCCACTCTAAACACACACACACACACACACACAGAGACAGAGACACACAGACAGAGACACACACACACACACACAGACAGACACACACACACACAGAGACGCACGCACACACACACACAGAGACAGAGACACACAGACAGAGACACACACACACACACACAGACAGACACACACACACACAGAGACGCACGCACACACACACACAGAGACAGAGACACACAGACAGAGACACACACACACACACACAGACAGACACACACACACACAGAGACGCACGCACACACACACACAGAGACAGAGACACACAGACAGAGACACACACACACACACACACACAGAAACGCACACACACACACACACACACACACAGAGACGCACACACACACAGAGACGCACACACACACACAGAGACGCACACAGACACACACACACAAAGACACACACACACACCAGAGTTTCCATCAGCCCCTGCTCTGATACACAACTGCCCAGTGAGAGAATCAGATCTACTTACAACTACATACTACACACACTAACCAAACACACAACTACAGTCTGTTACTACACTAGCTGCTACACTATTTTAATGTACCACACGACACACAACATAGATTTCGCCACTTTGTCAGAGCATGCAACTTTTAGACATGTTTTAATTTTATATTTGAAGTTGGTTCAGTAAGTTTAACTTGTTTCTGTGAATCACTTTAAAATTCCTCCATGATTCAAAACTGCTTCAAAAAATTCAGTGTAATTCATTTGCACCCTCAATCAAATGTTCATGGATGTTTCTGTAGATTTGTAGGCAAATATTACTGTTTATAACTATGTGTAGGTATATTGATGCATGGATTCCCAAACCTTTTTGTCAGCCCAGCGCATTTGAGCTGAAATATTTACTCCCTAAAATTTTCCAATAAATCCCTAAAAGTTTCAATAATATTTCAACACATTCGCATGTTCATGGTTCTCTGATGTTGTTTATTGGTCACATGACATGCAGATAAACTAATTGAATATTTTAGCTATTTTTTGGTGTTTTATTTTGATTGTTTTTTATTTTAAAATGTATTTATTTTGATCTGACATTTATATGATTTAATTAATTATTCGGTAATCAAAACATATTATATTAAATACATAAAATATATGTATTTTTTGGTGTTTTATTTTTATTGGGTTTTTTAAATTATTTATTTAGATTTTTATTATTTAGGACTAAATTATTAATTGTTCATTTACTCACAATCTCCAGTTTAGATCTCTGTATTGGTGTGTATACATTAAAAAGTAAAAATAAATAAATAAGTTTTCTTGTTCTAATTTTTGATGATTATTTTAATTAGATATAATTTTTACATTTAAAAAACAACTAAAAATTTCAGAGTGAATACATAAATATAGTACAGTCTGTAATATCATACAAACCAGGGTTATTAGAGTTAAAACTCATTAGCTGTTAAACAGTAACAAATAAAATATTTAAAAAATGTAATTTATTTTATTTCAGCAAACATTTAGCATTTTAAGTTTAATGTGTACTAAAATGTTGTATGAAATAAAAATCAATAAAAATGTAAAAATACTGAAATGAATTAATTCAAAACATTAATATAAACTATTATAGCATTGCAATGACACTACAACAGCACTGATACAAACCTCACAACAAAGATGCAAGTGTTTGCTCTCGTTTATGGTCTCGTTTCACAGCAGAAACATTAACAACAAACGCATGCATCACAGATTTCTTCTGAAACGTTCTACAACAACATGCATGCAAGCATGCACACGCGTCACGCGCTGGCCGACTCGGGCGTGAGCTGCTTTAATGTGTGTCACACACACACTTACAGGAGACGAGCGGTGGGAGGGGTTAGATATTTTAGGGGCGGAGCCTCTACTTGGCTGCAAGGTTGTCTTCAGCTGATGAGTGCAGATGAAGGAAGAGAACAGATGATTTAGGAGATATAAGCTGGGCTCTGTTCTAAAACCTAGTGAGCTCCCTACATAGACAGCATATCAGAGACACACTCACAACGCTCTCTGCCCATGTAGGCAGCAGGCAGCAGACAGCAAGACAACTCACTAGGGTTTAAGAACAAGAGTAGAGCTGGACGATTCATTAAAATACACTAAAATACAATAAAAACACTAATAAACTGGCTGGTGTCAAGAAAACAAAAGCATTCTGGGCTTCCTGTGTTCTTCTGCCAAAATAAAAGCTTGAAAACATATGAAAATAAAAATTTAAGATCTGTATTGTAATTGCACAGCTGCTGTACAGTAAAGTAAAATTATTATCATTATTATTATTTTCTTAAATGCCACACACACACAGAGACGCACACACACACAGAGACGCACACACACACACAGAGACGCACACAGACACACACACACAAAGACACAC